CGCTCTCCTCTGCCATTCAGCTCCTACCCTACGCGTGTTGGAGGAGGCTTAAGAGCTCTCCTAAGCACACCTATAAACTGACAGTGTACCATCTTAAACCAATTCAATTCCCTTCCCTGCGATAAAGGACGCCAGTTCAGAGAAGATAACATCTCACAGTGATGGCTCCCAAAGCTGCAATTTAACACAAATCTAAGCGCTCTATTATGCAGCACAGCCAATTCGTTAAGAAAGGACAAGTGAGCACGTCTATTAGCTCTATCATCATAATCAAATATTGGCACGAGGAACTGCTCGGCGGTGCAAAGTCTAGCGAACCCCCTGTAAAACAATTACGTGCCCTTCAGAGAAACAACATGCCAGCCAGTTTAGGTGAACCGTTGCATGAGTCACCCTGATTTTCTCCTTTTAAGATGTGCAGCCCTTTGTGGAGGGGACAAAACCCCATCGACTCAACGTTGTGTCCAGCAGAGCTTCAAACAGAGCTTGTCCTTGGGGCTCGTGCTCCACAGCTCCTGGGACTGAGACAGCTCCTGGGCTTGATCTCCAGCAGTCCTTGCTCCCAAGGCATTTGGGACCACTTGGCTAGGGGATCCAGAGCAGGTCCTAAATCTGACCGCTCGGAGTGAGGAAAGCCAGAAGCTGATAGAAGAAGCTGGAGAAGGAGCTCGGCAGAGGCAGGAGGAGGACTTGCTTTTGGCAGGGCCAAGAGTGCTGCAGTGAAGTCTCCAGCTCGTCTCAACATGAAGATAAGGCAGGACACCTTGTGTCGCGGGACATCTCCTGTGCCAGGAGCTGGGGCTGCGGTGGGAGCGGAGGGAAGGTCTCTTACTGCTGAACGCGTGGGGTCAGCGTGAAGGTTCTGGACCAAACCGTCCCTGGTGTCTCTGCGGTGGCTGTGTCGCTTCATGGCTCCTCGTAACCCCTGATTTTGCTGTCGGTCACAACGGAGGGAGACTGCGGGCCCTAAGTTTCATCACTCTTATCAGCCCCTGCCTTGCACTTTTAATTGCACCTGCGATCTCTGTACCATGCCCTCCAAAGGAGGGGGAGAGGGCAGAGCTGGTGGCAGAGCTGGCAGCCCGTTTGTCCACCACACTGGCCCTGGAAACCCACCAGCACAAAGCAAGAGCATCTACTGCAGCCTCTCCAGGAGGGATACCCTCTCCTCCACCATCCCCATGAGCCTGTCCTAAGCCTCTGCCCATTGTCCTGCCCCAGGACAGCTTGCAGACACCCAATGAAGACAGAAAAAACTTCCAATGGCCATGTACGAGCTTGAGGAAAGGCTTTAAGAAATCTTCTTTCTACCCAAAACCTTGCTCCAAATTTTGCTGGCTGCAGTTCTTACCCTTTTGGCTCCATTTTACTCTGCCTTTCACTCTTGTGTCTCTGCAGCACAGCCACCACCTCCTGCCTTAACCCGACGGTGCTTGTGCATCTGCACGGGGACGGTCAGGAAAGTTCAGCTCAGTTAATCAGAGAATTGAATTTCTTGGTGATGACCTGCCTGAAATTCCCATTTGACCCAACTCACTCGGCTCCAAATGGCCTTAATATGATTTACCTTATTTCACCTTGGAAGCTACAGCAAAGCAAAACTGAATTTCGGCAACTTCAGAAATGATGTCTCCAACACAGAGGCCAGTGAAAAATTCTCTTCATTGCCACCGCTTCGAAACATAAACTCTTTGCCAGTGAAAAAACTCCATTCTTCCAGGAAGGTAATCTGTGAACATCGCGGTCAGGCAGCTGTAAGTGAGAAAATCTCGTTGACAAAAACAAGCCATCTCCCAGCGTTTTAGCTAAACCTCAGCGATCAACTTGGCGAGGCTTTTTTGTAAATCCAGGAGGGGAAAGCATCCAACTCTGTGTCCCGTCCCAGGGCTGGCGCCTCCCGCACCGCTCCCGATGGCATCTCCTCTGCTCGCACACCGCCTGCGGGAGCACGAAGCTGCGGAATCCCGGGGATGCTGGGTGCTGGGTGCGGGGTGCGACCCCTGCCCCGAGGAACGCTGCCTGCAGCCCTCCCGCCTTGGGCAAGGGGCTCCAGCGACCGACTAGATAAGTACGTACCTCTGCCTGGACGTTTGATTCTCCCCGTCATGGGACTAGCGGGATTTTAGGCGCCCGCTTGGCCGGATGGTGACAGCTCCTTATTCTTCAAAGCCTTCAGAGCTAACAAAACCTCAATTCCCCCTAAACCCCCCAATTTAGTAGGCGGGGAGAGCCAGGTTTGGGGTGGGCAGTCCCTGGCGCAGCTCAGGGGGGACACACGCCGACCCTCCAGGCCACTGTGCAGGAGCAAGGGCGAAGCCCATCAGGGACCCGTTGGGGACGCTGGCAGCAGCTCGAAGAAAGACCATAGGAACTAAAGTCACAAACAGAACTGGGTTTTATTACGAAATAACCCTGCCATTACATAAGGAAGTTCTGTCTGCAAAATACATTTCCTGAGGAAAGTAGATCACAGTATTTGTTTTCACAGAATAACATGTAGCCTGCTATAACTTTCAATGTGACTCTTTATTATTTAAATATTAACAGTATTCCTTCACATAAACAAGTACTCAGTCATCACATAACTGACACACAAACGACAAAATAAATATACAACAACAGCACAGTTCATTTTTTTTTTCCCGACTTAAATATTAAATAAATAATAAATACAGAATTTTCATTTCCTGTTATCAGTGCCTGAAACAATATGAATGAAAAAGAAAAGAAAAACTGAAAAAGTCTCTCTTCCCCCCGGTGCCCCTGCCCCCGCAAAAAAACAAACCAAAAAATTATCAAAATGCCTCAGTTATAAAATATCTTTAAAAAAATTCCCATCGTTAAAAGAATAAATAACAAAATATATAAAAAATAACTTGGTTGCATCAAAATTACAAGTAGGAGTTGTAGATAGGGTTTTTTTTCTTTTTTTTCTTTTTTTTGGAATATCATTTTTTTATGGTCAAAAGTTTTAAAAAAAATTTTTTTGCTTCTTTTCTCTTCTTTTCTATGGTGCGGTGTCCAGTTTAAAATAAGTATAAAATTAATAAATAAAAAAGTTAAATAAATAGCAAAAAGTTAACATAAGGTGTTGTAAATATAAATTACATACATCTTGCCAAAATTAAATAATTTACAGGATAATTAAACTAACTACTTTTTTTTTTCCCCTCTCTTTCTTCCAGGAAGTGCAATTTCTCTACTTTTAAATACTAACTGAATTGCAGTCACAATCAATTTGGACTCTATTTACATGTTAAGAACATTGTGTTTTTAACACCTCAAATTACTTTTTTTTTTTCCCCCTTTCTTTTGTATTTTTGCACTCGGAATGGGTTCTAAAATAAGTGAACGCGTGGAGTCTGATCCTGCAAATGCTTAAGTTATGTGAGCAAACCCACCCACGCCAGCTGCCCTACTGAACTCAGCAGGGGAACCGACACGAGTCAAGTCGCTCGTGAGCGTCGAGCCCGGATGCAGTCGCCGGCGCACGCACGTGCACACG